TATGACTGCATAAACAATGTATGCAACTCATTTTCTATTCAATGGATTTTAAAGTGCCTTTTACAAAGCAAAGCAAAAAAACAAAAGAGAAGCTTGCTCTTGAGAACTAAAACTTCATTTTGGATTTTGAACGCCATGATTGCTCATGACATAACAGCCTTATTTCTACAAAGTTCATGGTTCCTAAACAAAAATTATGAGATGAGACTCTGTACCTCAAATTTCAATGTGATGCTAACCTGTTTGTCTTTTTGTTTTCATTCTAATAACCTAATAATAAAATGGAAATAACTGTATAACTTCTCTTGTGCTTAAAAGCATTTTGAAGGAGTAAACAAATTTCAAGGAGTTTCCACTATTTTGAACAGTAAAGCCTATTTTCTGTACTATCCCTTTTTCAAATATCATCATGGCCTTTAATTATTTATATAGGGAGACACTGAAGGGAAAAGCAGATGTCAGGGTGGATGAACTGTTTAAGACATTGTTCTTTATTTTTCATATGAGCTTAAATTGAGACTTTTAAAGATTTTTTTGGCAGCAACCTCCCTTCCAACCCCCACCCAAACACCAATCCCATGTGAGAGTTTTGGACTTCACAGATGAAATGAACTAGTAAAATATGCTGTAGCCATAATATAGCATGCTCACTTTTTTTCATCTTTGAAGTGAAAAAATTATTTCTAGACTATGACTTTATATGCGATTGTAAAGATGTGATATATATGCTATACATATATATATATATATACACATATATATATGATTTTTATGATATTATACACTTAAAAATGTGACTTTTTATTTCTGGGGTATCTGTCAGCAGTAGATATGTCACAAAATATTTTTTGCCACAAACTTTTAGAGTTGTGATCAAGAAGACATAGAGAATTACAGTTTTACATCAAGTACCATAAACATTAGCATCGAAACTGGTGAAGAAGTACATAGACAAACTCATGCCATTCTTGCTATTAGAAATAGAAGGAAAATAAGAAGAAAAAATAAGAAGAAATGCCATTTCATTGAAAGATAACCCATCATTTTAATTTATGCTCCTTTTCAGTATTTCGTCAGATCATTTATGTATATCTATAACATATACATAAAATATTTGGATATTACATATATATACTTATAGCACATATGTATTACTTGTACATATATAAATATCCAAATGTCTTTGTTATCTCAAGTTAGGCAAACTATGCAACATTATTATAATGTTTATGTGTGTTTCTTCCTAAATAATGAAGAAAACATATGTCGTTATAGTCTTGGATTGCACGGTATGTTCTTTATAGTTGCTGAAAAAAAAGTCTTTTGAAATATCACTGGAAAATCATTTTTGAAAATCACAGAAACATTCATCAGCCAGAGAAATTTTCTCTTACCTCAACAATATGTAGCAATACTTCAGAGTTAAGTATTATAAAACAAAGGGCACTGTAGTTGCATTAAAAAGTAAAAAAGTCTTTAAAGTACTTCAAAGTTACAGATCAGGTTGCCTTATTGCTTTAGACTACTATTATTTTCTTATTTTCTATTTTCAAGATTTGGCTTATGCCTGGTCTACATGCTAGAATTTACAGTTGGTTTCCTGTGGAAGAAAATTTAATAGGAAAAGGAAAGCAAATGATACATCTTTTGTGTTTCATAAATGGCTTACTGCTGGCATTCTTATGTCAATTGAAAGGGGCTTTAGAAATTGTCCATTCCAACACCCCAATTTTAAATATAAGGTAGTGAGATATAGATGGTTTTATTTTTTTTCATTTTCAATTACAATTGGCATGCAATATTATATTAGTTTCAGGTATGCAACATAATGATTAGACATTTAAATAAAGTGATCACCCCTGTAAGTCCAGTACCCATCTGACACCATACACAGTTATTACAATATTATTGATATATGCCCTAAGCTGTACTTTACATCCCTGTGACTGTTTTTACACCTGGTAATTTGTACATCTTAAATCCCTTCTCCTTTTTCGCTCTTCCCCTCGAAACCCCTCCCATCCAGCAACCATCGATTTGTTCTCTGTATCTATGAGTGTGTTTGTTTCATTGAGATATAGAGTTTTGAAATGGCTTGTCTCAAGTCGCTTGGCCAAAATCACAAGGCTAGTCAACTCCCAAAATTCTTGTAGTGTAGCATACTATGAACTACTCAGTGTGCTACACCATCTCAGCCTAAATATACGTTAAGGGGATTTTCTTTAGCAATAACACTCATCTGAGGAATTGACTACATTCCTTTTGTTTCCTGCCAGGATTGTCAGATACAGGCATTGTGCCACTATTCAAAGGTATATGAGTGGAAGTTCAGAAACATCTACTTCAGAATGCCAGTGTTTTTATTTTTTCTAGTGCGAGTCAGGTCCTCTTTTGTTTCCTCATTCTAAGTCTCACTAGAATGAAATTAACCTTTTATCCTGTCACCAACACCAAAGAGCTATTTTTTTGTGAAGGCATTCAATACTTGCCATAGCTGCTATAGAGTAGGTGCTCCAACTGCAGGTGTTGCTATGGGTTATGCAACCCAAATTACAGGGCCCATAATACAGTTTCTTCAGGTTTTCACAGGAGTTCCTGTAGCTAGGTTACTCTATTGAAAAATATCATACTTTCAGGAAAATAACCTGATAAACTTACTGAACATTAAGAGTGATATATTATTTTTCAGATTGAAACTGTGGTGTTCCCTTGTCTTGTTTTCTTCTGTTTAAGTACAGATTGTAGTTACCTCATAGTGAGGAATATGGAAAGATTTAGTAGATGAGTAGATAAAATATTCAACAGGGTAGAAATTAAATATGATGACTTTGCTTGCCCTTTGCAAAACAATGAACAAAAGACAATCGGAGTTCTCTGAACTCAGAAATGCTCTTTATAGTGTCATAATTGATTTACATATATATTATTTTCAATATGCAGAAATAAGAAAAATAGGCACTAGAAAATGTATGGAAGCATCCAAACCATTTTGATTTTGAAAGTTCATCATAATTTGAATTGAACATATTACTATTTTTTAAGTGAAGTTGAACGTTTGTCTTTATTCATCTTCAAAATTATCATATCAGTGTGCCCCAGAGTATCCCACAGATGATTATTTTTCATAGGGTTTATCATTTTCCTCATTCTACTTAACCAAAGATAGTAGGTCCACACACACAACGCACATTCACACATTATATTTGCTATATGATCCATTTGCCCAGCTAAGCTGAAGAGTAGATGTTAAAGCTATGGATGCAGACGTGATTTTTAAAACTAGGTCCACTATTTGGTTAGTATGCCACTTTGAGAAATGTAGTTAAGCTCTCAAAATCTTTGCTGCTTTATATGTCAATTGGTGGTAATAATATCTACCAGATGAGGTTGTCATGAAGATCATATGCCTCACACAAAGTAAATAATAAATATTAATCAATCTTGTATATTTTTTGATACAGCCTTTAATATTTTATCCTTCCAAAATCTGACTGTTAATTTAAACAAAAATGGAGATATTAATATTTCCCAGTGATTATAGCATGGTTTTTCTTAATGGGACATCAGATTCATCATGGCATTTCAAGGAGAATTTAGAATTTTGTTTAGGTATTTAAACCAGGTCATCCCATTCTTTGCATGTTCTAGAATTACACTTATTAAAGTGTTCATTATTTCTTGATAATTATCAACATGTAGTTCATTTTATACTTCCTCAAATATCTCTGACTTCCTATTACTTGCTTTTCTAGTCATTGAAATGTTGGATCACTACCGACCCAGTAGCATAGATATCACTAGGGTCTCACTGATAAAATCAGTATTTTGTAGTTTAAAAAAGCAAACATTTAAGTTTGTACAATATAATTAATTAAATTCACTATTAAATTTAGAGTATTCAGTTAATGAAGTCTTTCTTAGAAGCTTATGACATTCTTAAATTAGATAAATTAGTTTATAAAAAGTAATGTGATTTTAAGATGTCTGTGTCACAACTAGCTAGCTAAAGAGGAGTTAAATTTCCATAGGTAGCATTTGGGCTCTTTGTCTTTCAATGCTGTGTTATTCAGCATGTTTCCAAGGAAACTGAATTCAGCTTTCAGCTGTGTGCTGCCAAAGACAAATTTGGGCTATACATAGGATCTGCCTGAATCAAGATGACACGCAATATTAATCTCGTAATGACTGAAAAAAAAAGCATGATGATACTATATCAGACCCTTTTAAAACATTCCATTTTGGGGTGCTTTGCATGACAGAAATAGCTATATTATTCTTGATTATCACCAAGGCAAATAATGTCAAATAATATTAAAAGTTTCTATAACCTTTGTGATGTAAGAAATTTACAGGGTGATCAGAATAGAACTGTTCATTTTGTCTGTTTATCATCTATCTATCTAACTATTAATCACCTATCATCTATATGATAAAAGCATGAATTACTAGGAATGGCAATGGGGATATATATCTCCTGTTAATCTCTATATGTGTAATGCTAGAATCAGCTGTCTCCATACTGTAAATTACTCTTAACAAGCAAAGTTAGTATTTTATTGAATATCAGATATTTTTATAATTTTAAAAATATTATTCTTTGCTAAATTTTAATACTAATTAGGAAATGAAACTTATTCTATTATGTGTCATGAGAAAGAGTAAGATAGCATTAAAGTGAAATGTTTCTTTATAAAATTATTTTGAGAGTTTTTATGAAGGATCTAATACATTAGAAATCTTGGCATAATTAAAATGAGATTCCACTCTTTTTTTTCAAATTAAAATTAGCAGAAGATTTGAAACTTTTACTTTACTGAAATATATACATATATAGTTTTTATAATTATTTATATAAATATATAGTTATTTACTGAAGTAATATATATCGTAATATATATATATATATATATATTTATATATATATATATATATATATATATATATATATTTTTAAATATGAAATTTGTTCATTTGGGATGGTGTTACTTGTAATATTAAAGAATATCCAGTTTTCAGAAACATATGAAATAAATACCTTATTTTTGACTGAGTGAGTATCAGACCTAAAGAATACACATAGACAAGTAAAGTGATATTTGCATGATATATTTTCCTGGGATAGTGAGCCTCCTTTTAAGATTAGATTGCTCACCAGTGTTTAGGAATAAGGTCTATCTGGGAGAAGCAAAATGGGGAATAAGGAAGTGCACAATTTGTTAAACAATAACAATAAGGGTAGGTAAAGCAATTCTTGGAGAATTTTGAAGTTTTTTCCCACTTCTAAGTCTATTATAGATTTTTTTGTTAAATTCTAATTCCTTCTCCTAAACACTCATTCTCAAAAGTAATTATGTCTTTTTGCATCTACATCAAAACGCTAGTCTGAAATAACCTAGTGTAAGCAAGAGGTCACATGACCTTTTTAGGCTTAACATGGTACAGTGTTATCAGTTAGGAATTAGTTTGGTGAAACACAAAATGTTGGGAATCATTTGGCTTCCTCCTGAATTGTGTTTATTGTGCTTTTTCTGTTAGATATATTTTGTGTATGAAATATCTAATACTCTATGTCTTTTTTTTTTAAGATTTTATTGGGGAATTGGGGGAGGGGAGCAGCGTTGAGGAATCGGGGAAGGGGAACAGACAAGTTGCTGTTGTTTTGTTCTTCAGTCTAGTTGTGGAGGATGTCGTTTCACTGGCCCATGTTGGTATTATCATTGTGCTCTTCTCAGGCGAGGCAGATGCTCGCCGGCCATGGGACGGCCACTCACAGTGGCTCATGCCAGCTGCCAGCCAGCACCACTGCAGCCTATGCCATCACCAGCCACTCACGGCAGCCCAGCTCCAGGTCGAGCTGTTGTTCACCATCTTAGCTGTAGAGGGTGCAGCATCACTGGCCCTCATGTGGGTTCTGAACCAAGGCCCTGCTGCTCAGACCTGGCATCCCAATGAAACTCTTAATCATCGTGCCAATTGGCCGGTCCTAATATTCAATGTCTTAAAGCCAACATTGATCCATGCTCACATTAAGGAACAGAAATATTCAAAGACTATTTTATAAAAAATATAATTACTTAATTAGGGAAGACATTTTTGTCTTGTTTTTTTTTGTTTTTTTTAATTTCCTACATCAATCTTCACTTGTTTGAACAATGCCTTATTCCTGAGTGCATATGCTACATCTGCTGAATGGGTTTTGAACAAAATATCTATATATTCTAAAGATTTCTTTAATACAGCTAATGAATCAATGTTTATTTATTTATTTTTTGTATTATAGGATGAACAATAACAAAGCGGATCTTAATTTGAATGAGTTGTCAAAATTTATTGAATTAAAATTATAAGCCTTTTTACCTGTTTCCTCCTACTTAACACATCCTAACATAGTCATGTTTACTTTAATTTGTAGTAAGTAAAACTAACTCAGGATGGAGATGAAAAGGTATAGTTACTTATACCTGACTAAGTGGCTTGAATTTTTCCCCATTAAAACTTACCAAAGGCTTTACCTCATTATATTTCCAGCTTAAGGTAGCGCTTCTTTTACTAATTTCCTATGACACAGTGAATTTCTCCCTCTTCATTTTGATTGTCCCTTAACTTGTATTTTCATCACCTGGGTAATGCAACTGACAAGTGTGTATATGAACAGTGACACATCTCATCGATATATATTGTACTCAAGGAGAGTAATTTGCCCAAAGATCATAGCCTGCCCAGCAATTTATCTCACACCTGCCCAGACAGACGCAACAGTCTAGCTCATCCATCAAAGTTCATGATCTAAGCTCAGTGGAATTTGAAACTTACAATAAGAAAATGAAATTGGTTTAATCAAGATTATAAGCAAGGTGACACAGAGTACACAGTTACAAGGCCCTATTTTAAACCAATTATTTGTCAACATCTAAACATTCAAGTGAATTTGAAAATGGATATCCTTTTAAATATATATTTCACATTATGACCTCAACCAATTTTTTATGGATTTTAAATGTAATTTTCTAATATAAGAACATGAATTTGTAGAAACACTTAAAAATGTTTGCAATCTTTCAATTTTCAATTATAAACTTGGTAGTTAAATCCTCAGTACATAGAAAGACAGATTGCAAATAGAGATCTTTGTTTTGTTTCAGTGTTTCCATCACATTTTGATGTTCTCATAGACTTTAAATGTTAGAATAAATTGTAACATTAGTCAGTCCAAGCACAATAATCATTAATACCTTTATCGTTCATTATGGTAGCATCTTACCATTTTTAAAATGTTTTAATATGTCACCTTATTTTCAAAATTTTGTTCCCCAGATTGGGCACTTGAAGTAGACAGATGATGATATCCCTCTTTTATAGATGGGAAAACTGAAATTTGGGCAGGTTAAGAAACTCTTGGGCAAAGTCACAAAACTGACTACTGAAAGTATTAAGAGCAGAATCTAGATCTTCTGAAACTTATACTTTTTTTCCCCCCACAATGCATGACTACCTTTTGTGGCACTTAAGTGTTTCACAAAAAGCTGAAATGGACCTTGGACACCATCGGGTCTAACCTACCTGATTTTACAAATAAAAAGTTAAGTTCAGAGTGAGAGCATAGATCTCAGAGGAGAACCCGGGTGCCCAAATTCATCCACATGATATTCTTTCTAAAACAAGTTTCCCCTCAAATACGTGGTATGGCACTTGCTCATGTTGAACCATGTGAATTAACTGTCTGTATTTTGGCACCTATAATGTAGAGGTGACACGTTCCAAAAAAACTGTTCTAACCAGGAGATGATAGATGATTTTTTTAAGTGCCTGTCTTCAAAACTTGTGCATATGCAGATACCTATCTAACAAGAAAAACTTCTGATTTGAAATTTAAATGAAAAGCATCCTTCTTATACACCATGAGTCCACTGAACGAGTTCAAATTTTCTTTTACTCTTTATCTTTGCTTTGTAGATAGCAGAATTAGACCCTGGGGCATAACTACACAGTCATAGATCTATTACTTCAGGTGAACATAAAATCCTTAAATTTCAGTTTCAGCTTACATTGGAAGTTTCAGCACCTTGGCAATGTAGATTACATTTTAATATAAATAAGTATGTGGATAAAAATACCAAATCCCTTTTTCAGTAGGCTTAGGAAATTAAAGTTTAATATTAATAAGATCTTATATATATTAGCACTTAATTCAAATAATAGAACTTGAGTCAATCTATTTATTCCTGTAACAGCCATTTAAATTTCATACACATTTAGGGTAGATTTTTTAAAAGTTTTTTTGTTTGTTTGTTTTTGTTTTTTTATTGGGGAACAGTGTGTTTTTCCAAGACCCATCAGCCTCAAGGTGAGTAGTTGTTTCAATCTAGTTGTGGAGGGTGCCTCTCAGCGGCCCTTGTGGGGATCGAACCGGCAAACTTGGTGTTATGAGCACAGCACCCTGAGCTAACTGGCCACTACTAGGGTTCATTTTTGACACTGTGAGATGGTATGGTGCCTCTCCTCAGTTTCCTGTTTATGTAAATGTGGAACTTATGTCTGTGCTAGCAAGGAAGAAGAGGAAAATATCTGTAGGAATTAAATGGACTAGTTTATCTGAGTCAGAAGCTTCAAATTCCAATATTTCAGAGAAAGAAAAAATTATCATACTTGTTAACAATTCAATAGATCTCCTTGTCTGTGAACTAGAACACTGTTTACTTTCGGCCTGGGTTTAGAGATTAGGAATGGAAAGGCTGACTAAAGTCCCATGATGGTGCTGTGCTAGGTTGCTGAGGTGTTGTTCTCTTTGTTTCTTAGAGGACTATTTTATTGGTGCTAGCTCAGAGACAGTAGGTCACAATGATCCGCTATCATAATTTTTGCGTAACTAGTATCAGATTTAGCCGCCAGAGGACGCTAAACTGAAAGATAGGAAATGTACAGTTTGGTTTTCACTTGTCCTTAAGATTCTTTGGTGTCTTCAGGTGCTCATGTAACTAACCTCAGACGTCTGTTTTGTTTTGTTTTGTTAGTTTGTTTTTGTTTTTTGTCAGTTACAAAGGGATGAAGTAACAAAGGGATGAGTATGTGCTTGTCCATCCACTTATGAGTCTATTGTGAAGGGACATTCAGAATATCTGTTTGAAGTGTTGGATTGAATGGTTTTGATATCCTTGAAATCTACCACAGTTTCTATTCTGAGACGCTTTATTTATATTAATATAGCTCATTTACCCTTTGATTAATTGTTGGGCATTCACGGCATGCTGGACTGTCCAGCCCCCATCATGCAGCACTGCGAGCTTGTGGTGATTAGACTGGTTTAATACTACACTCTCCTTCAGTAAAATTACTGTACTCCCTCATCAGATGAAATGTTTCATTAGGCAATATGTGACCTCTAGTTGGAGATTATTACTCTGATAATTACCCAGCAAGATGGAGAAAGCTGATTACCTTAGTCTTTTTAGTGCTTTTATTCTTCACAATGAACTTTCGTGGGGGCTAGAATTACTAAAATGCCACAATATCCCTTAAGTTTGTTTTATGTAACCATCTAAGAGAGGGCCATGGTGGCATTTGATAAGTTTTTAGGCCATGGCCACAAATCTTTTTTATGAGCTATTGTTTACTTGAGTGTGATAACCATAAGACTAGCATTGTAATTTTACTTTAATATTACAAACTGCATTTATTGCATTTTCAGATATTTTCACTTTTCAGGCGCAAACATGAGACGGTCTAAAAACTGCAGTTGTACTGCATGTAAGTGAATCTTTGTCTTGTTTAAGTGACCATAAAACAAATAACAGCAATCATACAATAGAAGGAAACATTAATGAGGGGAAAGAACATGATGCTTCAAACGATTTTTGTAATTTTAAATTATGTTTGTGTCTGTATACAGATCTTAATAAGGTTTTGTCTCCTTACAACAAATAATTTTACCTCATTGGGTTTTACAATGTCAGTAGTATTTGTGCATTTTTTTTTCTTTTGGCAAAATCACCAAATTGCTTTAGTTTTCAT